TAGCAAATGGGTGCGCGCGGCGCGCACGCGCGCACACACACACACACACATACACACACACACACACACACACACACTGTATGTGAACAGTATATATTGTACAGTAAATAATAAAATCTCAGTGATGCTATTTCTAAGAAATTAAATGGCTGTGGTATATTTTAAATTTAAGCAAAAGAAAAAGATATTTTACCAATATGTTCAATGATCATTTATCTCACCTACTTACCTCCTCCAGGGGAAATATCTCGTTCAAAAATGCATAGCTTATATCCAAAATGATCTTCTAATGTTTTAGGCAGTATCTCCAGAGCAAATTTTCTCTCTTCACCACATATTGGTGTAGAGTCTTTCAGGTAAGACACAAAAGCATCATAAAGTTTTCCATCTATAAATAAATAATTCAGAGTCAACATACTTCTCTGACATAATTACTTATAGGAATGACATTCAGGCAGACTCTCCTATTTCTTTGTACGGTTGGCTAAGTAGCATTTATTTGTTCTGTATTTATTTCATTTATCAAACAATCAAATAAACATTGTTTACTTCATATTGAATGCAGAGCCAAAAGAAGACAGAAACAGAGTGAACAGAATCAATAATTTCCCCTTTTGGAGACTTGTAAAACAATTATGTATCTATATTTTCAAAAACAACTCTCTACCCCTAATTTCTATTTTCTTTCAGAATGTAATGAATGTAATAATAAAAAGTGAAGAAGTTACAATTTCTTATTTTTTCCCCTTTGATACTTAATGGGTTTAAATCAATGCTGTTATTTATTAAGTCAAATCAATCATTTTACCTCCCAGTGTTTCATCCTTTCCTGTTATATCTCTGAACAATAAAACAAGCTCAATCTTGAATATTACACAGAGAATCACTATCAGGACAGCAATAAAGGAAAACATTATGGCCATTATCATTCCAGTAGTAAAGGCATGAACTGGTAAATCTGGATTAGATTCTAGGAAGGAAAAAAGAAAAGAAAAGATTATTGCGTAGGAAGGCAAGCTTCTCCAATAATCACAAGAAGTTAAAATATTTTCTAGCCAAATGCCTGTCTAGTATGCTATGAGACAGAAATATATGTAGTAATATTTTGCTTTGTTGTTCTCTCTTAAAATAGAAAAATATTATGAAGATATGAAATCTATTATTAGGTAACCTTAACATAACCTGCTATTATATTATATATATTATCTTATATAAATGAAGCAACAAATTCAGAACTAAAAAATCCATTTGCTTTCACTTAAGATCAGTATCTGACATTAAAGAAGCAATTTAATGTTGTCAAATTCATGTAAAGGTGCAATGCCCTTTTAGGGGATACTTAGAAGGCTTTATCCATTCCCAATTATCCTTTTATACAGTAATGTATCAAGCCAATTTTATGTTGCTGGACTTCAGATTGTCCATAAGTCAGTCAGCCTCTTCAGGGAGACCAGACAGGAAACATGACCAGATGAACTAATTTAATTTAATTGTAAGGCTATATTAACAAAATCTTGCAACTGAGAAAGAAGATATCTTTGATCTTCTCCTTTACAACCTGAGAAGCTAGGGATGGTCCCTTCTGAGTGTCTTTCTCCACCCACTGTCGACAATGCCCTCTCTTATCCAGGGGTGGGCTCCTGGGGGTTTGCAGGGGTTCGGAAGAACCTCTAGCTAAGATTCTGTGCAGTTTGGAAAACCCCCAAATCCCACTCCTGGCTGGCCCTGCCTACCCTGCCCCTCCCAGAGAGTCCCCACTCTGCCCATTTTGGATGCAAGTAAGTGCAAGGCACGTGTGGAGGCTCAGGGAAGGTGAAAAATGGGCCTACCGTAAAATCAGGAAGGCCAGAAATGGCCCCATTTCTGGACTCCAGAGAGCCTCCAGAGCCTGGGGAGGCCATTTTTGCCCTCCCAGAGGCTCGAGGAAAGCCTCTGGAGCCCAGGGAGGGCAAAAATGTCCCCCATCAGGGTACAGGAGGCCGACTAGGCCACACCCACAATGGCCATGCCCACCTATCCATCAGGCAGAGAACCCCTTGCTAAAAGTTTTGAAGCCCACCTCTCCTCTGACCACATTTTTTCTTTCTGTCTCTCAAGATCCTTCTCATAGAACACTACAAAGCCTCATTTATGTAAAATAATCCTTAAAAACAGAATCAAAAATATTATGCTGTTTTATCTTTTAATATTGCAAGCTGCCCAGAGTTACCATTTGGTAAGACAAGCAGCTAATACATTTTACAAAGGAATGGTTTACTTTATTGATTAGGCCATGACCCATATCAAAGTGCAGAATTCCAAACACAAATTATTACTAAAATCTGATAAAAACAATTTAAAATGGCATTGGAATAAAATACAATTTAAAATGAGATTGGAATAAAATACAATAATTTAATACATGGATAAATGAAATAAGATAAAATTATATTTCAGTGTCATCTCTACAATCTACGTACAAAGAAATTTGTTTTCCTGAAATTTCATAAGATATTAAATGACAATTCCAAAACATTATGGCATTAAAAAAATGTTTTTGTTCCATTAGGACAGTGGTGTCAAACTCCCAGCAGCATGTTGTCATCAAGTGACGTATCACAACTTTTTTCCCCTTCACTAAACCAGGGTTGGGCGTGGCCAGCGGTGACATATGTGATCCACAGCCTTCAAGTTTGACACCCCTGCTTTAGGAGAGGGATCTGAATGTATGAGATTATTATCTAGAGATACCATAAATGTTTGGATATCAATGGGCATTCAGTTGCTATCTATGAAACAAACAATTACATCTATAAAAACTCAAATTTAGATTAAAATAGAATTCAACTAGTAATTAGCCTTGTATAATTTTCAAGTAGGGGGACGCCATGGCTCAGTGGCTAAGACGCTGAGCTTGTCAATCAGAAAGGTCAGAAATTCAGGGATTGGAATCCCTAGCGCCGTGTAACAGAGTGAGCTCCTGTTACTTGTCCCAGCTTCTGCCAACCTAACAGTTTGAAAGCACATAAAAATGCGAGTAGAAAAATAGGAATCACTTCGGTGGGAAGGTAACAGCGTTCTGTGCTCCTTTGGTGTTTAGTCATGCTGGCCACATGACACAGAGACGTCTTCGGACAGCGCTGGCCTTCGGCTTTGGAATGGAGATGAGCACTGCCCCCTAGAGTCGGGAACAACTAGCACATATGTGTACGGGAAATCTCTACCTTTTCTAATTTCCAAGTTCTATTATCAGCTACATTCAAAATTATCTGCCCACTTTCTAAGAATTCTTTTTAGTCTTTACAATTTATTTTTCCTCCATATCAGTTTAGACTTCTGGGTCATATGGAGACACTTGTATTTTCACAAGTTAATTTTTATACTAGATTAAACTATATAATACCTTTTTGCAATATAAATGTTTGCTCTTCAAAACCATTTTCAGAAAAGACGCATTTGTATGAAGAATTGAAGTTCTTTTCTTTCACACCTTTAAACCAAAGTTGTTTCATAACATATTTTTTTCCATTTTCATCACTGTTAAGAAAGGGAAATTGATAGAATAACAATGCCATAAGCATTTACTCTGGAGAAAAGCTCAGTGAATTTAATGAATTTTACTTTTAAATAAACAGAAGAAGAGAGCTTATTGAATTCAATTAATTAATTTGCTCTTCGGTCATAAAGGTTAGTCCTGCTCTATTCTTCAGGCATTTTGATGTATCTGGAAGGATTTTGGAAGCTCTCAAGTATGTGAACGGAAATTTTTCTGTTGACCACTTTGTTAATCTTAGAAGTATATACCTTAAATTGTTTTCTTTATCCTGAACTTTTCTCTTTGAATTCTATATTATTGACAACTCAAAGTTCCATATCTATTTACTACTTAAACTTTTGACTACTTAAAGTTCCAACATCCATAGCATGAATTCCAGAAATTGCATTTCCAATGTATCTGCAAGGTATTTGAAGAAAGATGTCAGGGAAATAAAGCATATAAAGATTAGTTTAAATAACTAGCTTATTCCCATCTTTTAAAAATTGCTGGTTTATATTTTATGAATGAATAAAATAGGAACAATTTCATCTATCCATAAAATCCCATTCCTATGTTATGGAATTTTCATTTGACAAAAATCAGGAAACAGTTGTAATTCCCTCTCCTCTTTATTTATTTATTGATAGTACAAATATGCTGTTTTATTATATTGGATCTCAGTCATAGTAGTTCACATTGCAAAACTTACCAAAGAAATTTAAAATACAAATAGTCCTCAAATTATGTTCATGTAGTGATCGTTAGAAGCTACAGCGGCACTGAAAGAGTCATGTGATCAATGGGGAAGCCAGATTCATTTAACAAGCATGTTGTTCATTTAACAACTGCAGTGATTCATTTAATGACCATGACAAGAAAGGTAATAAAGTAGAGGAAAACTCACTTAACAAATGTCCTACCAACAAAAATGTGGGCTCAATTTTTGGTCATAAGTCAAGGACTACCTATATGTCTAATTATCAAACAAGTGTACAAAATATTTGATTATGAATAGTACTTACTATTTATGTTCTGTCTTTTGACACAGTGAACTATTACTCTGACATGTTTCTATAAGGTCATCATGCACAATCCAATAGAGTTCATAGGGGAATTCAACAAAGTTCTTCGAATAACCTAAAAATGCTGTGCAATTTAGGATTTCCTCTTTACCTAATAGAAATATTTACTTAAAATTAATAATTTTAATCAAAGACACAAAAATTACAAGGGAGAAATCACAATCCAGAAATATTCTCCTTTTTAATCCTCTTCAGAATTAAATTTCAAATCATTGATTAATCGCTTTGCTTCAATGAATATTTCCTACCTGCTGTAATTTCTGACTTGGTGATATATTTTAATATAATTTAACAACTACAAATAACAACAAATAAGAAGTTGGAAATTAGAAAAAACATTGACTTCACTGGTCACTGGATACAGATATGCTCTTTGACAAGAAAAATAACTCATTCTTTAAATTAAAATATCACTCTTCATTTCTCTTTACAATTCTTTCAAAGGCCTGCCAGTTACTTGCTTCTAAATCAGGGGTGTCAAACTCGCATTGGCACAGCAGCATCGTGTGATGTATCAGGACTTTTCCCCCATTTGCTAAACCAGGTGGGGGCAGAACCGGCATGTGACACATCCGGCCCATGGGCTGCGAGTTTGACACCCTTGTTCTAAATGCTCTCGTCTTATTCTACTCTTCTAGAAGGAGTGCAGACTTTGTGGAATAGAGCCTGGATTTAGATATAAACCAAGAAATAACATTACTTGGTTTATATTTAATAAAATAAAATATAGCAATATCATTCTAGCTCAAGTGCAGAAAAATCTATGATATTTTAAAGGCAATTAATACAGCCAGCTTTTGAAACGGTACACTTGTTGATAATATAGCCAAACATCATCATAGATTAATAATAAAGAGAAGTACCTATTTCAGTTTTGAAAATTTTATGACCAGGTCCAATTAGCTTTGGAGTTACTTTTTCTTCAGTACCTTAAGAAGAGGAAAGAGAATTACTTAAACTAATTTTCCTAAAGTCCATCGTGATGATAATAGCTAACATGTTGTCCAAAACATTTTCTTTAATTTTTTTTAAGTGAATTGGCTATTTAATCAAAGATGATTCTTCATTTTAAAAAGATGATTTTGGATTGTAATTCTCAGAATTACATAGCTGAATTTTCCACTCTAAGGAGAGGAGTATCCAGTACAGCAGAATGATTTTCAGTATGTTGGTCTTCTAATATATTCAAAATAGAAGTATGATACATTGCATATAATAGAAGAACAATATTAGTGGCATGTATACACACAGGACCAAGCAAACTAACATCAAGGAGTTCTCATCATATGAGCTTAGCAACCATTCAAACTTATGACAGACTCCACCCAAAAGGTACTTATGAGCCACTTTGAGCCAGCTCTAAGGTTCTGACAGCTGATCCCCTATGTCGCATGACCACATTTCGGGAACTTGGACACCCATAATTTAAGACCATTTGCAGAATCCCATAGTCACATGACCATGATTTATTATTTTTGTTTGATTAAAAAAAAAGTAGTTACTTCAATTTTTCAGTACAAATGGCCTATAGTGAATGCTGGGTTCACTTAACCATCACTGTGTTCATTTTACAACTATTGCATTTGCTTAATGACCGCTGCAAAAGAAGGTTGTAACATTCGGACCAATCACATGGTGACCCATTTTATGACATTCACATGACCATAATGGGCTGACTCCATTGTGGTCACAAGTCAAGGACTACGTACATCAAGCAATAAGACTTACTTCACCCAGTTACACAGCCAACAAGCATGAAGGACTGGAAGCAGAGATAATTTCTGATAGACAGCTGCTGGCAGGAGATAAAAATGAAGGGCTGTACAGAGGACTGGTTAGAAGACCCTGTCTGTGGACACGGTCATCTATTGGGCCTCTATTTTATCCAGCACAGCTTGCATTACTAGCCAATACATGTATAAATGTGGACAGCTTAAGCAAATGTAATCCATAAAGATAAGGGGATCAGAAAGTCTTTCTCTGTGTTGTGTTTTCTTGAGTTTTCCATTATTTCCTAAGATATTAAAATTCAAATCTGTCACACTAGAGCAAGAACACCACTGATTTTGGTCCCAAGTCCTTTAATAATTTTACACAGCCTCACCTTTAATATTTAAATTGGTGGTACTTGTGCTGTTGTATTTCTTTCCTGCATGAAGAATTGTTTTTACACATGTGTATTTTCCACCATCCTTTTCTGTTAATTGATCAATGTGCCATTCTTCTTCACCTTTCTTATTAATATTCTCTATGCAGTCCTGTTTCAATGAAGATGTTACAAAATGGCTCATTATAAACCTTTTTTTTTTAAAAAAAGAAGACATATTGTAAGATAAAGCTCTCCATCCTATTGGGAAAATGCATCATTCTCTTTGTTCTAATCACTTGGATAAACATGATTGCATTCAGCATTCATTTGTTTTATTCAAAAATTATTCAGCTTAGAGTTCTTAACCTGGGAATAAGCCCAAGGAGGCTAGTGTCAGGATTCCAAGTAATAGTTCCAAAGAAAGAAGAATTCCAAGGCAGACAAGTTCCTCAAAGAACAATTTTATTGGAGATATCATATTGGCACAAACTGGTGAAAACCAACTCTGAAATTTCCCGCCTGATTAAAAAGTGAAAGATTCTCCTTCCCCCAAACAATCAGTCACATTGTCCAATCAAGGCACTGGCTGGTTGCTTGTCTACTATGCTCCTGCTCTCTCCAGCCACCTGTTGAAATGTCCTTGGTTCCCAAAGGAAACTATTTTGTTTTGGCTACAAACCCCCATCTAACTATGATCCCCCCTCCCTATCCCTTCTTTGCACTGTGGCAATCCTGAAGCCTCCAAAATGGCCCCAGCCAGGTTCACTTCAGAGTTGACAACTAGTATGCATAGATGTTGATGTTTAAACTAAATCCACAGACTTAGTTGCTTTAAATTAGAATTAGTTGCTTTAAAAAGGAAGTTGTGAATGCTCCAACACTGGAAGTTTTTAAGAAGATGTTGGATAACCATTTGTCTGAAGTGGTCTAGGGTTTCCTGCCTAGGCTGGACTAGAAGACCTCCAAGGTCCCTTCCAACTCTGTTATTCTATCCTAATCTATTTTAAAATCAATTCTTTAAATCCACTCCAGGAGAATGCAATAACATTTTAAGAGAATGAGTGCAATGCAGAAACAACCTTCCTATGTTAATATTCATTATTTTTTTAGTGAAATATGTAGTTATTACTACAATGCATTACGAACTGAAGTTTGTATTTTAAAGCAGCATTTATGGAATTAACAAATTAAACCATCTGTAAACATTAATAAAATACTCCCCTTATACAAATTTATGTTCAAGAGACATTTAAAGAAAGAAAAGTTTATTTAAAAAGGAATTATTTTTCAACAACAGATAAGTTGACTAGGAGTTGCCACCCAACTGTAGGAGACACTGGCAGTGAACTTTAAAACACTGATCAGCTTCAGGCTAGGCTTCTTGATGTATTTATTTCCATCATTCATGGAAACAAAGATATGAACTTTAGCTACATTCAGAGTTTTTTGAATAAGTGTGTAACTGCTCAAATGGATAGTGGTTGACAAAAGTCCTCTCTTTGTAAACCAATTCTACAAGCAGATTGGAAATGTTTACATCAGAGAAAGCATCACTACAACGAAAGGTTCATGAGCTACTATCCAAATGATGCAGAATTTAGTATTGTCTGGAAGATTCTATACTATCTCTATAGGTGATGACCTCTCCTGAACACTGTTATGCTGTACTCATAGCCACCAGGACCATTAAACAAAGAGGAGGACAATGTTGTTTGCAACTTATAGGGTCATTTGTATTTTTGCTGTTGTTCCAGTCTATGAATGCTGTGAATGACAATTTCCATTGTGGTAAATTATCTCCATCTTCATGACTATAAACTATTTCTTCTATAAACAAGAAAGTATTTTAAAAGTACCTTATACCAGGTTATGCTGATAACATTTGCACTATTTGTACTACTGCATGTGAAAGGATAGCTTGTCCCAATTATTCCATCTCTTCCAGTAAGCAAATGCTCTTCCGTGAAACAATTGTTTTTATTTCTCTTGATGACATTTAAGGACCATTCCTTAGGGTATCCCTCCCAGGTTCCATTTCTGCATGGGGACAAGAAATGTGACATATAAAGCAGAATAGTTGTTTCAAGGAGGAGATATACATACAACCTCTTCATATTATCAAAAATAAACTTATGAAACCCATGTGAAAAAATTAAGGATATAGGTGTCAAAAGTTTAAGAACATGTCCATATTTTTTAGTTTGGCCCATACTTTAAATATGTGCTTAAAACTTGGATAAAACTAACTATTTCAATGGCTGACCTAGACTGCCAATCATAGCTACAGTACTACTTTGCTTGTTTACCATCAGGATCAAGTCAACCTCACTCAGAAGTGCTATTTAGCATAGCAAAACAAACTAGGGTCAAGAAAAGTCAGACCAAATTAGCATCCATGTTGATTGATACAAGTATGCCTACTTTTTTCCTTCATTCTCTTGTAGTAATTTATAAAATAATCAAGCAAAGAATTAGCGAACACCTAGAAGCAAACAAAGTAATAACCAAAAGCCAACATTGGTTTGTCAAAAACAGATCTTGCAAGACTAATCTTATTGCATTCTTTGATAATGTGACAAA